CATAAGCCCCCCCCTTGTATAAGCCCATCAAATATCGCTTACGAAAGTATATAAGCCCAGGGCTTATAGTCGGAGGTTTACGGTATTCCAATGTGAGTTCCTCGGAGTTTCCTGGCGTTTTGACGGATAAATTCACAATCTCGAAAGTAATTGAATTTAACGACTATTGCTCTCGGTTTACGTTGCGCGTTGCGTTTCCTTCCGACTCTGTGCGTTCTGTCGATTTTGATCTTATTCCTGGCATTGGTAATCTCTAATTTCTCCTCGAGAATCTGAAAAATTTTCTCATTGGTATTTTTCTTTTCCTCTTCTTCGACATTGAAGAATAGTAGGTTATCGCGCATGGATCGAGCTTTCAGATCGATGACGCTCTCATGTAGACATCGATTTGCTTCCTCTAATTCGACTACTCTGTTTCGATTTTCCTCTTCCGAATTCTTAGCACTTTCAATTTGCTTTTTTAAATTTTTTACTTCTGCGTGCGCAAACTCTAATGAAGATCCATGTCAAGCATCAAGCAAATAAAGAGAGAATTTATGAAGAATCAGCAAGGATAAAACATGAATGTGAAGTTAACGTCCAGCGAAAAGCTTGAAGGAATCATTTATATGAAAATCGCGTGCTATTATTCGGGTCATATTTTGCTGTGAAATAATAATATAAGACAATAAGATGTAGACAATAAGTTAAATTTTGCTGCGCATGTCCACTGACAAAACGCACTCACACAAGTGTGAGTAAATTTGCGATAACCGCATATAATCTTCATTTTGGTTAGTTATCTATTTGATATTTTGATCAGTCAGTGTAGATGACAATTTTTACAAGGCCATACGGCAGCACTTCCCCTTGCGATATAACTCCTAGTTTAAGCATAATATTTTTTTATTGCAAATGCTGTAGAAAAACCTGAATTCTCTGAAGAAAGCAACCAGAGTGAAGATGACACCGGTGAAATACCCAGTACCTCTACCACCAGTGGTAAGCTCGGATCACTGATTCAAATGGAAAAAGGGTTTTACAGTGAAATAGTGATATTAATTCAAAGGACGAAACTGTTTCAGTATAAAATATGTGATAGTTTTCTG